CAATAATGTCAAACTTAGCACTATAGGGTATTTTACAAGAAGTGTGCTTCACACTTAAGCATAAATACAGGATAATGCACACATTTCTAATTGTCATGTGAAGCATTCTGATAAAATTATGTTCTTTTCCTCTAAAATAACGTATGCATGAAATATAACACCAGATTCAGAGAGTAAGTTCCCTGTGCACATCTGTTTGTCCTACGAGGCTACATAGGCCCTGAGGTTGAAGACTTCCTTAAGAAGATATGCCTGGTGACTCTCATGAATATTCATTCATTAATTCATTCAACAAACCTTAGACAGGCTCTGAGCTATGTTTAGATGTAGAATAAAGATTAAATAAAATAGCTTTTCACAAAGCTTTCAATCCAACAGTTGGATCAGTACTTTTCTCCAGTGACATGTGCTATGTGCATGGACAATGGATTTAGGGAAACTCACAGGATGCAGGATTTGTCTTTAGTGTTCTACTGTACTGGATGCACACGTACACACACCCACAAAGCCATGTCCACACCCACACTGAGACAGTGAAACAAGCATCTCTGTGTATCTTGGATGCGCATCTTCCAGTTTATCCTTAGGTAGTGCGGGGACCAATCACAACGCCACATTCGGTAGACATGCTCAACATTTCCCAGTATTGCTCTGTGATGAATTGTAGCTGAGCTTGTGCTTTTCAGCTCATCTCCAAGAAAGAGAGCAACACAGAGAAGATGAACATCTCTGTCACAGCTGTACATGCCCCGAGATACCCACATGTCAGAGCACACTGGGAAACTGTGGGGGCCAGGTACAGGCCTCACAGAAGAAAGGTGTCTTGGTTACTTTTCTCTCGTTGCTGAGACAAAATACCCAACACCCAAAATGAAGGAAGGAAAGGTTTATTTAGCTTACAGTTTGTGGAGGTTTCAGTCCCTACTTGGCTGGCTCCGAGGCAGAAGATAGCAAAGCAACAAGAGCAAAGGGGGGTTGGCAGCCAAACAGCAAACAGCCAGAGCAAACGGGAGGAATGGCGGCAAGCAGCTTCTTTCTTGCCTTGCATGGTAAACAGGCTACCCCCACCTAAGGGGCGTGTAGCTCTCACGCAATCTTTGCCCTCCTCTTCCACAGGCTCAGGATGTATACAAAGTAAGCACCCTGGCTTCCTGCTGAGTCACTTAGCCAAACCTCTAGACTCCCCAAGTTGACACAATGTATCAACCATAACAAAAGGCTTTCCAGCTCTCTTCCCTTCAGTCATGGGGACCCCAGTTGAAACACAGTTATAGGTTATAATCTCAGGACACTTGACATGAAACCAAGACTAAACTTTGAACAACAAACCCAGACAAACATTTACAACCCAATCAGCAAATGAGGAGTGTTTTTCTGTGTTAAATATTTCAGTGTGTTGAGCATAAAAATTCTTAAATACAGTAAAACAAAATAAATGTTCAAAGTGAAAAAAATTTGGAATATACCTATGAGATGTGCAACCTAAAATACAAATAATTTGTTTGCTAAATAATGAAAAGAGGGAAAGAAGAGAGTATTTTGAGCAGGGGATGGGAAGAGATTACATTGATACCGGAATTCTTGGAGCAACAGACAAGCCTGGATGATTTTCATAAATTTGTTCTTAAATCTCGCCAGCTGCATTTGTCAACTCGCTATTCTGACCTCGCTGTGTTTTGTCCTTCCCTCCTCCTCTATTTTTTTCTTGGAGCCACGGCTACTGACTATTTTGGATACACAGAGTGCCGGAGGAGGAAAGGAGAGGGCCAAAGAGAGAGGGAAGGGCTGGGAATATAGCTCAGCGGCACAGCGCCTGCCTGGCAAGCGCAAGGTCATGAGTTCGATTCCCGGTACCCACCCCCAAAGAAAAAACAGAAACAAAAACAAAACAAAAGAGAGAGGGAGTGAGGGAGAGAGAAAAAGAGAGGGAGAATGATATCAGTGAAGACAAGATCAGGTATTATAGTTAAATCCTTCATGTCAATTTCTAGGTACTTTATTTCTGCTTTGTTTTGACAGGGATAACTTTTCAAATTAAATCTCTTTATTGAATTGTCACCCTTGGATAGTTTCTGAAGATGCTGCCTTGGCAAAATAAGAAAGTAAAATAAAATAAGTAAAATGAGAACTGTTACATTTCATACTCTGTGAAAGCTGAGCCTGATGACGTTGTGTCATTACCAACTGCCATGTCTTCGGGGAGCAGAGGACCGATGTTAGGTGCAGGGAAGGGGCAGAGACGGCCCTGTTGTTTTTAGGATACAGGTTACATGCACTAGATGCCACAGGAGGAAAAGCAGCATTATCCCCAAAGCTTGAAAATGAAAGCGATGTGGGATGCTACCAATCTCATGGAGAACTTTCTAAACAAAGCTCGTCATCAGGGAAGAGAGACCCTAAAGCTCTTTTATTACTTTTCTGCTGTTGGGATTTTCTACTCACTGTGTTCCACAGACCAGCTTTACCTGGAAAGCTTGCTAGGAATGCAGAATCTGGTGCTGCCCACTGAATCAGAATTCACATTTTAACAAGATCCCTAGATGGGCTTCATGCATGTCAGTTTGAGATGCAGTGCTCTAAAATTCTCCCCCAACCTGGTAAGTGAGGTGAGATAGCAAGCTGGTTACCTTGACTACTGGTTAACTATGTATCCATTCACTCTACATGCACTAGGTGCGCTCCTGGTATAGAAGACTGAACAGAGATACATAGTCCTTCCTCTCATTAGACTTACAAACTAGTGGGGGAGGAAACGTAATCATATAATTAAACTAGTGGACTGTACTGCTTCAAACTGAGATGAAGGCAAAAATTAAGTACATATGTACATACATGATATCAATGCATTTGTCAACTCACTCTTTCGACCTCGCTGTGTTTTGTCCTTCCCTCCTCCTCTATTTTTTTTTCTTGGAGCCATGGCTATTGACTATCTTGGATACACAAAGTGCAGGAGGAGGAAGAGAGAGGGCCAAACATAGTCAGATGAAAGGGAACAAAATAAGAAGCCATATTGGATTGGAAGTTTTAAGAATGGTGTCCAGGACCTAAGAGTGCTTAATAACATCCATCCACAGTGATTAGTGACTTTCCGTTGGTCTAAGCTGGGACAAGAGCAGAGTATCCCAGGCAGAGGAAACAGCAAGTATTAGGTCCTTGTGCCAGGACACAAAGCCCAATATGCTCCAAGAACTGACAGCTAACCCAAAGGCCTGTAGGCAGGCAGCGAAGAGATGATAGAGAGGGGATTAGGTTGAGACACAGGCAGATGCTAGAGTGTGCTTGAAGCAGTGAATCTGCTCTTCACTGTCAGACCAATGGGAAGTCAGCTAGAGCTTTACACTCGCAGTCCATTTATCGCTGCCTCCAGGGAAGACTGATTTCTCGACTGTGTAGTAAAATTGGACCTTGGAATCCAGCATAAGGTCACCCGCTACAGGGAAATGGAGCAGGGATGGGACAGAAACTTGAGCTCACTCTGCATCAGGTGCCCTGCAGGCCAGTTACACGTGACAGCCCTTCCTGTGCTCACAGAAGAAGGGCATGGTCAGCCTGGACCCTGATCTGTGCTTCTGCTGACTGTGCCAGAGAACATATTCATGCCCCAGAAAGGGAAGCAAAACTTCTAGGGATGAAAAATCCCATAGGAGAGTCCTGAAACATATGTGGTTTCTGAGGAATTGGACTACATGGGGGACCTGTTCAGTTTTGGTTTGAAGCTGATAAAGTGCAGATACCTTCTGCCTTTGCATTCAGAAGAGCTAAGGACATGCAGGTAGGGACCCCAGTACAGATAGGGCATGTCCTGTGAACTCCATTGTCACTGTCTGGGTCACTGCCAGGCAACCTGCAACAGCCTCACTGCTCTGCGGTCATTATGGATAGTCTCCTGCCCTTTGTCTCTCTTACACTTGGGACTTTTCTCCCACCAAACCCCTCTGTCTATACAACTCCCCTGGGTAGGCCTTCTGATACTTCAGCATCTGTATAGCTCTTCTGAGGTTCCTCAGGACCTAAGATAGTGAAGGAGACTTATACTATTACTGTTCAAATGTTTCACAGGTCAGGCACTGCATGCTGGATTTTATATGCATTGGTTTGTCTAATTCTCACCTGCAAAGACTTTGAGAAACAGAGACTACTAAGTCTTTGTGTTTTCTATACAGTTTAGGTATCCTATTACTTAGCTTTCTATGCTTTCTTATCCATAAAATGGGAATAACACCCAATAAAGTTGTCACAAAGATTAACTGTAACAAAGTACAGGAAGATCTTAGCACAGTTACTGATACAGGGCAACTGGTAAACCAATGTGAGCTAATAAAGAACCATTATTACTAACTTACTGAATTTACAGGCAAAAGAACAAGCATAGAAGGATAGGTGGTTTTACATCTAGTGTTTTTTGAGACATTCATGTATGGAGTTGAATTTGAGATGTGCACCTTGCTTCCTTTGGTACCATGTATCTGAAGCCATAGCCTCGATGGTGTGTAGGTGCTCGCTGTAACACACCTACACAGGCCAAGGAAGAACCAACCACCAAAAGGATGAGCAATTGTCAAACCACTTCCCCCTCCTTCAGCCTATGGAAGAAACACACAGGATGATTTCTTTTTTCCTTTTCTGTGCAAGTATTTTATGAATCTCTAACGAAGATAGGGAGGTACTTCGTGGATGGAATCTCTTGGATAGACACTGAAAAAATAAATGTAGTGGCAGCAACAACAAAACCCTTTAGAAACCAGGAATTTGGGAATTTATTTTTAACTCAAAAATACCTTGATGAGATGAGAGCATGGTGCTAGCACTGTCATTATTCAACTATGAATAAATCTGGAACATATACGTGTAAATATATTACTTATAAAAATTATTAATATAATGCTAGGTTACTGGGGCAAGAAACAGTCTCATTCCCAAATGACCTGGATTCTTTCCAGTGTGATCACACAGACTTGGTTCAGGACGGACTGGTGGGACAAAGCTGGTTTACTTACGACCATCCACAGTTCTGGCCTCGAGATGCACGAGGTCTGGCTCCTTGTTCGATCCCATCACAGACCTGAAAAATGAAGAAACATAGAAAGGAATGTCCATGTTAACAAGTTCACATGTTTATCTGTGAAGCCCACAGACTATTAATATCCAGTGATGCCTAAAGCCTCCATCCTCAGAATATAACCGCTTTATTTATGAACACAGTTTAACAGTAAAATTTCCACTTCAAATAAAAACCACAATGAAACGTGTATTTGATGTAGGCCAGGCAGAACTCTGGCAAGGATACTGTGTGTTATTTGCTCGGACTTGCCGATAAGTGAACACAGGGCATACGTGTGCACCCACGGTAACCCTGCTGACAGCATATTGAACTTTCAAAACTTACCAAGCAGATGCCGGACATGTTGCTAGCTGGGTGATTTAAAAAGCAATTTACATAGCAACCGTATCTAATTAATTCTGTTCATTTTTCACTTGCAGAACTACCCATTACTGCCTGACCAGAACGAATGATGGGACCTGAGCCTTGCAGGGCTGACAATATTGATCATTCTCTGCATTGTTGAACCCCATGACCAAAAAAGGTGGCTGCATCTCACTTTCTCTGCTATGTATACCTGAAACCATCCGTGTAAATACAATGAGAGCCTATTTAGAAGTTTTTGGAGGCATAGATCATGTTCTATAATGTTGCAGAGAGCCACATTGAATAGAAAATAATTATTCTGTTCAATAAATAACATGAGCAACAATGCTCTGTTTCTAGAAATTTTATACAGGAAGACTAATTAAAGTTGGGACTATCTTGTTGTATTTTTTGTAAAAAAAAAAAAAAAGTCAGAATTTTCAGAACTTTAATCAGTTCCATTTCTATATGGAAAAGACTCAGACGCTTCAAACAGGTCCCTCTGCCTGTCCCCAGCTACCCAGCCCAGCCATTCAATCTATACTAAAAAATGAAGGTCTCAAAAATACACATTACCTTCAAGGCTTGGAGCGGTACCCAAAGACTTGAATGACAGACTCCGTCTCACATCAGCTGCCTCCTCTCCCACCACAGCACATACAATGCCACGGCTCAGCAGTGCTGTGTGCATGTTTTCACCCACCCCTGGTGGAGGGTTCACATCTGTCTAGAGCTTGAAAATGCTGGGCTCCAGCTCACTCACTGCCTCTTGGACTCTTACTTTAAGGCACAACTAAAACATCACTCCTTTTTGTCCCAATTAAAACAGAGAAAGCCTTTCTTTCCATCAAGAAGTATTTATTTTGAAATAAATCTCATAAGATGTATCACGGTTTATTATACATCATTAGCTTTGTGTTTTCCACATGTGAGAGCAACCCCTTCCTCCAACATCCAAATGCAGACACACACAAGCGCACACACACACACACACACACACACACACACACACACCTCAAATAGAGCTAACAGGGACTTTATTTTAAACAGTTTATATTCATATTCATAGTTGTGAAGTAGAATAGTCAAATGTGGGATGAAAGAAGAAAGGAACTAAGTAGAATTAAAGAAGGAAAGGAAGGAGTGAGGGAGGAAGGAAGGGAGGAAGGAAGGAAGGAAGGGAAAGAAAGAAAGAAAGAAAGAAAGAAAGAAAGAAAGAAAGAAAGAAAGGAAGGAAGGAAGGAAGAAAAAAAAAGAAAGAAAAAGAAAAAGAAATTAAGGAGGGAGAAGGAGTGTAAAGGTCTTTGAATTCTTTGAAATACGTACATTAATCACTGTTCTGAGACATTCTCAGAGCTCTACTTATTTGAGTTCATTTTCCCAACTCAAAGAATCTTATGCCTGGCTAGCTTAGTCCCTCTTCATTTTTACAGAAGATGCCTCCTTAAGGTCCTATTATCGCTGTCTATAAAGTTTGCTCTGGTTGATATATGGTCTGAGATTCAGAATCTATGCTCCAAACATTATTTCTCACTTTCTTTTTCTCCCATGACACAGGCATTTTCACAGAAGGGTTTTGCAATTTCCTCCAAGCGCAAGGCACACATGCCCTGCTTTTGGACATCCACACCATTGGAATTTACTTGAGCATGGGCAGAAGCTGACACACATCATTCAGTTAACTACTTTAGCAACTGTTACTTCACAGGCAATATTCCCGATCTCCCCACACAGAACTGTTGATGGCACGCACATGTAGGTGACCTTTTCTGACAAGGTCACAAGTCATGAGCATTAAAAAGGAAAATGAGCTGTCTGACAACCTTCAAGCTAGGAAGCTCAGAAGCTAAGCATTTGTTTTTTTCAAAATATTGATAGACTGTTCCATGTAGCTTACTGCCCTCTGTATCTGCTGCTTTGAGTTTCCTCCTTCAGGGACTATCACCTTTTATTCCCCAGAAAAATCTGGCACCCCAGAAGCACAAAGCTAAAAACGAGCAAGGCTGGCTGTCGGTTTGACTCATAGATTGTGTCCACAGGAGATAAAATCATTTCCCTAGGTCCTGTGGCATCTTTCCATGTGTTCCTGGCTCCAGGTCTAGAGGTACAGTAGTTTCTGTAGATCTCTGAGTTATCCCTCTGGGCATGAGCTGTTGTTTGACCTGACATTTTTCTCCCTTATCAATTCAGGAAAAAGATGTAAGAACAAAATAGTTCTTCATTTTTACAAAATCTACTATGTTTAGCTAACCCCTCGCCAGTAGCAGAACATGCCTTCCCAGCTAGTATACTTCAGTTTCTTAATTGCCCAGGTAATACTTCCTGTTCCAGTTCTGGTTGCTCCTGTTTCTTAGAAACAGCTGGTCACTGTAGGGCACAGCTGGTCAGTATGGTGCACAGTGTATAAACGGATCCCCAATTGGCAAGCCATTCTGCATCTGTACTTCCTGCTTGATTATCTTGTGTAAGCCCTAGACCACCAGAGATCAGGGCCTGACACTTTGGGAGGGATCCTTATCAGTGCTGGTCAATGTAAATAAATCTGCCTCCAAATCCTGGGTGTTGTTTCAGTGTTTCTGCTTGCCATTGCATCTGTTACATCAGCCGGGAAGACTGACCATGCTGACCTCTTTTGTCACCAGTCATGGTCCTCATGGATGGAGCAAAGATGTCTTCAGGTCCCAATGGGAAGACATGCTCTCAAGATTTCTCAAGTCCTCTCAGAGGTCTGGAGGAGGATTCCTGGCTCCCTGCTCAAGTGGCTCACATCGGACCCCACAGGAAGGCACACACAGTCTGTCTGTCTGTCTGCCTGCCTGCCTGCCTGCCTGATTCTGGTAAGACACCTGGGACCACCCCAGTTAGTCTGTCAGTCCTGCTTAGTTTGAGCAGAAGAAGAGCTTGATCAATCCCTGTTAGTTAAGGCCATCCTCAAGGGAATGGGGTTGGAATGTTTAACATCTGAGTGCCTGCTAAATGACTGTGGGCGTGAGTAGAACGGACACTGTAAGCAACAGGCTGCTCCATCTGGGGAGTGCTGGTGGTGGTGCCTAATTGGGCCCTCACCTGTTCCATGGCAATCAACATAGGGCATAATGGAAGCCTCACAGCCTCCTTAGCTAAGTGGCACCTAAGTCCCTGTGAGGGGCACAGCCAGGCAGGCATCTGAATGGTTTTTCTCTGAGGGGCAGCCACCCTTTATCTGTTGTGCCTTTATTCAAGGGCACACAACATATACTATAAGGAGGTAGAATGGGAACTAATTATTTAAAGCCCACAATCCCTGAATGCAGGAGAAAGAGCTTTTATGGAGTTAAAAATGAAACCAACCACTCTCTACATCTAACAAAAAAAAAGCAAAACAGAGGCTCATTCTTCCTGAGAAGTCTGCAGTGGCAGCCTCCTCAGACAGCTTCACTCCAGGCTCCCGACTCCTCTACTACTAATCAGTTGAACTGGTTCCAGTCGGCCATTGCCTACGTTCAGCCACAGGGGCCCTCCCTCCAGAGCAGTCTGCTTACATGCTATCCTGGTCTGAGGGCATCATCTAATGCCCACCTGAGATGACTGTCAACAATTCCATCTGAGTTAAGCATTTTGCCTGAGGAAAAATTTGACTGTCAGCCTTTACAAATGAGTTGTACCCTGTAGGACCTGAATAGATAGGACAGACAGAGCTCTATCAAACTGGGCCTCACAGTCATTGCAAAAGTTGAGGAAAAACCTGTCACTTTCCTAGTAGACAATGGAACAGAATTCTGCCTTGAAAAGTTCCCTCTGTCAAAAAGATATGATCACCAGTAAAACTGGGACTCTTGCCTCTCACCAATTCTACCAGGCATAAACTTGAAGCACAGAAGGACATCTCCTTTGCAGCAAGCCAGTTAGACTCCCTTGCTTGAACTCTGCACTTTCAACTTTGACTGTTCCCCATGAAAAAGAAGAAATCTGCATCAGCCTGAGACAGAAAACTGCAATCCTGAAGTCCTAAAAAGTCTCCTCCCAGAGGTATGAACTGAAGACTTGCCTTTAGGCCTTGCCTCAACCCCTATTGTGTAGATGTCATGGGAAGCATAAGCAGGCATCCAGTCTCTGCTTGCAAGTTGCTCCCATAAGCCCTGTCAAATGGGAAATTCCTGAGATATAAGGCCAGTTCATTTGGACTCAGTCATCATAAGAGGTTAAAAACTCTTCCATATTAGTTCTGTACTTGTGTCCTGCACAATAAGGAAGCCATCCTAGTCATCAAAACAAACCCATAAGCTCATCTGAGAGATACTCAGATTCAGCTGAAGACAGAAAAGTTTATCCTGTTCTTGCCAAGGACCAGGAGTTCGACCTGCCTCCTGCTTATGTTCACCAACCCCAAGCTGCTCAGCCAGCTCCAATGCCAGTTCTGTCCCCTGCACCACAGCTTCCTGCTCCACTGTCAGCAACTCCTTCTGACTGTTTAACACTGAAGAATGCTGCCATATTTAGATGGGGCCCACACCTGGTTAAAGTCAAAAGTCACTGACACTATGGTTGATCCTGACAATTGGGTAACTACAGTCCTCCCCTTAGCGCATCCTCACTGGGATTATAATGTGACAGAGGGCCATCAAGCCTTAGATCAGCACCACACTGCTCTCCCAGCAGACCTCAGAGAGAGAGGC